GGTTCAGTGAATGTGGTGTTGAATGTGTATATGTGTGTGAGTGTGTGTGTGTCAGAGACGCTGTAGAAAGACAGAGTGCCGGCCGACACATCCACATACACTCCTACTCTATTAGAGCGGGCTGAAGGGCCAAATACATCTGTGTTGTTATTATTGTACCAGACAGTATAAGTCGTATCGGAACAATACATACTCCAGGACTTTTCATTGAGACCAAACCAACAGTCAATCCCACTTTTTCTGTCGATTCCTTTATATGCCACTGCTACATGACCTGAGTTACTCCATTTAACCTCCCAGTAACAGCGTCCAGTCAGACTCTCTCTGCACATAACCAGCTCCTGGTTCTCAAATCTGTCTGGATGATCAGGATACGGCTGATGATCTTTTACACATGTTGCTTTTTTGTTCCCTTCAGACAGGATGAGTTGAGTGTGTGCTGTGTTTGGATCCAGTGTGAGATCACAGGCGTCTGAACACAAGAAGAGATATTACATCATCTATGACATCATTAAATATGCACAGAGTGTGTGTGTCCAGGTATTCCCTATGTTATTGGGACAAAGTGTCCCCACAAGGATATTAATACCAGTACATTTTGATCTTGTGTGGACATTTTTTGGTACCCATGAGGACCAAAGTTTTTTTTGAAAATCTAAAATAGCAGAAAGTGTTGTGTGAGTGGTAGAGTTAGGGTAAGGGGATAAAAAATACAGTTTGAACGGAATAAAAACCATTACGCCGATGGAATGAATCCATAAAACATGGAAAAGCAACATGAGTGTGTGTGTGTGTGTTTGTGAGAGAGAGAGAGAGAGAGAGAGAGAGAGAGAGAGAGAGAACTTACATTTGCTCAGTCCTGGTGTGATTCTGAAATGTCCTCCATGGTCCAAACTATACAGAGACAAAAATAACACACAAACAAAAAATATTTGATATGAGGGAAGATTGTTAAAACTGTAAATAAAATGATAGTTTTGTTGCTTTTCTCTCATCATTTACTCTCCCTCATATTATCCCAAATGCATCAGATCCATCAGATTTATCTTCCAAACACAAATGAAGATATTTTTTATGAAACATGAGGCATTTCTCTACTTCCACTGAAAGTCTATGCAGGTTTTCAAGATCCAAAAATGACATAAAGGCATTGTAAAAGTAATACATATGATTCAAGCAGTTTAATCAAAGTCTTGATTAACATGATGAACAAATTAAATTTAGGCTTTTGATCAAATTTAATTTTATGAACATTGATCAACACACACACTGTACACAGAGTTCATGAAATATAGTAAACATATTCTGCCTGTCTCTGTTTTTTGATTTGGGTTCTGCTTCCTTTGTCTAGTTTTGTAGTCTTTTGTAGTTCTTTTGGTTTCCCTCATTAGTGCCTCACTGTTTTCACATTTGTCTTGTTGATCTAGTTAGTTATCCTGGGTATGTTAGGCCCTGTGTTTACTGTGCTGGTCTGTCAGTAGTTAGATGTAGATGTTTGTGTTCCTGCCCTGCATATTCCTTGGTTCATGTTTGTTTTGTTTATTTAATCATCCTGGACCTATATCCTTGTCTCTGCCTTGCTTCATGCTTGTTACTCCCTTGCCTTTAACAAGGCTCCCTTGTCAAAGGCAAACAGCAAAAAATCACTCTTAGGTAACCCAAATCACATTCAGACACACATATGAGACATTACTGCTAAACATACTTGAGTATCTGCAGTTCATAGTTTGGATCCTCCTGTTTGTGTTTGAGCAGCTGGACTCCTGATGGTCCTGGGTGATTGTAGCTCAGATCCAGCTCTCTCAGGTGTGAGGGGTTTGAACTCAGAGCTGAAGACAAATAACCACAGCCTTCCTCTGTCACCATACAGCCTGACAACCTACTCACACACACACACACACATCAACAGTCAGTCTAGGGCTGGACGATTAATCAAATGTGATTGTCATGCGCATCTCGTTAGTAAAGCCGGTTCTGTGATCAGTAGTAAATCTCCATCACGTGATTTCAGATGGAGCAGCATTTACTACACAGAGCCGTAGTTCTCTGACGAACTGCGCAAAAAAAATGCAGACGATACAATCTCGCGATTATGAAATTGAAGAAATCGTTCGCGATAATGACAGCTGTTTGCGTAGCTTCTTAGTGAACTATGGCTCTGTGTAGTAAATTCTGCTTCATCTGAAAGCATGTGAAAATACCACATTTAATAACATGTTTTTACGCCACACTCACTTCATAACATCAGACGAGTGTTTGAAATAAATCCTTCTGTGAGATTATGTGATCTCAGAGTGATGTCACCGTGAGCTCACTATGTGAGAGCACTGTGATAGTGTTGAGAAACAGGATATAGAAAGCCTCCTCAGTGACCGATATTTGAACTGTCTCCTCTCAACCTGCTCAACATTTTGAATTCACAATGAGCTCACATACTCTCAAACTGAGAGCATCACTGTATGAGAATTGTGTAATGTCACTGTGATCATCACATGATCTCACGTGTTGACTGGGGTGGCTTCTTACACAGAATAAGGCACGCAACAAATTTCATAGTATTCTAAGCGGGGATAAAGGCTATGTCGATTAGCATTGCATTATTATATACTTTATTATAATAAAAATTATAATAATTACAATAATAACTAAGATAAATAATATATTGTCGTGGTCCTGTGTTTATTAGTCACGTTGAATCAATGAAAGCAGTTAAATCTTCTGTTTATTCAGCTACTACTATCCACCTTATTTTTCACGTAAGCGCGGGCCCCGCCATTTTCAAACTATAATGTATTAGATTTCCGGTAAAGCACTTCCGCTAATAGTAGTTGTATTGTGATTCCGTAGTTTTGTGGTCACTGTGTAGATTTTACAGGCTAGTTTACTTTTAATATGGACCACAGAAAGACTGGCGTACTTTGTGTAGTTAGGGGGTGTCATAATAGCTGGTTCAAGCGTAAAAAAATCCTGCAAGACATTTGTTTTGACCATAATCCATGCACCAGAGCTGAATGTGGATGTGGGGCACCCTATGATTTGCACGCCCCTCCGGAGGGAGAAGAAGCTCGTCGGCTTTGTTTAAAAGCCTTCAACTTAGAGAAACCACCGAAATTTCCGTTCGTTCCAATTCCAATTCGTTGATGGCAGACCGACGGAAAATCATCCATTCCCTGAGAAACGATGCTCCAGTGAAGACTCTGAGGCGACGTCTCATCAGGATATATCCACAAACAGGTATGTTACAGCTTCTTGTTAAGTCACGTGCTACAACATCATAATGTCTAAGACATTTTTTTAACTATTTCTTTATCGATGACACTCCTATTGGGCATGAATGATATTTATTGGTAAGCTGACGTTGATAACAGTAGAAAACAGTTGCAAAAAAGCGCATAGAGGGCTAGCTAAAAGTCTGTCATTTACTTACACTTGAGTTGTTCCAAACCTGCGTTCATTTCTTTTTGCTGCTGAACACAAAGGAAGATATTTCGAAGAATGTTTGTAACCAAGCAAATCTTGGGTTCCATTCACTTCCATAGTAGTAAGAAATAATACTATGGAAGTGAATGGGATCCAAGAATAGTTTGTATATTAACATTATTCCAAATATCCTCCTTTGTGTTCAGTAGAACACAGAGGTGGGGCTTTCAAGTCACAAGCAAGTCTTCAAGTCATATCCCAAGTCCTCAAAGAGTTAAACTTAATGCGATAATTAAGTGACTAATTAAATGATGATTGAGCATTAGTGATGAACAGCTGCTGTTAACAATCAACATCATTGAAGAAAAGAGAAACACAAGAACTACAACTGACTTCAGCCACAGCCTTAGATGAAATCAACTGAAAAAGAAAAAAAAAAAACACATACACGCAATGTCACCATAATTGTGGTCAAAGTTTGCTTTAGTTGGCCTCTTGACACTTTTATTAATTCCAAAATTATTTGTTTTTAAGAAATTGCAATGTTGTTTCAGAGAAAATGTTCATGCATTGCTGAATTAAAACCTCAGAGTAGCAGATGAGCTTACACTTTCTGCTTATAACTCATGATGAATGAACTTATATAAATGAAGTTTATTGACTAACCTTCAACTATTACTGAACTGAATTTATTTTTAAGCAATCGCAATGTTGTTTCAGAGCAAACGTTCATGCATTGCTGAATCAAAACCTGGAAGTAGCAGACGAGCTTACACTTTCTGCATATAAAGTTTATTGACTGACCTTCAACTATTACTGAAAAAAAAAAGAAATCCCACTAAACAAATGCCTCCGTAATGCTTTGATATTGAAAAAAAAAAGAGAAAAATGGATCAGCTCAGGCTTTTAGACATGAACACTTATCATATGATCCTCAATCAATGATTATGATTATTATCATTAATAGATTCCTGACCTGCTGTTGGTGTCGCTGTTGGACAGTGTTATTCCTGCTTCCTGTTTGCAGTGCTGCTGGTTTGTGATTGTAGCTTCGTGTAGCTTTGTTTCTCTGTAAAATCTCTATTACTCTCTGTTGTTTAAAGTGATAAATATAACTTAATTCCCACCATTCTGATATTATCTATCAGCCTAATCTGATTCATTTGATCGTTCGCTTTTATTCTAAAACAACGAGTGCAGCGCATCTTCAGCGCGTTAGCATTTGTTAGCTTGTCATTAGCGTTTCCATTCGTGCCTATTGTTTTTTTTCTTCCTTTTTTTCCATCGCTCCGTTTTTTTTGTGGTAAGTAAGAATCATTCATCAATCACGGTGAGTAATGGCTTTTTCTCCTGCTATTGTTGTTTGCACCGCTTGCTACATGTATAGTTTAGCTTTCTCTGTCGGCGATGAGGGATTCACATGTGATAAATGCAGGGAAATAGTTAGGCTGACAGAGAAGATTTCAGAATTAGAGACATGCATCCAAACTGTAATTGAGGACAGTAAGAATGTGAGGGCTCTAGATACGGCTTTGGATGCGACTAGCTCAGGGAGTCCTGTACATTGTTCGGTTCCGGTAACAGAGCCTCCACAGCAGGGCAACTGGGTGACTGTGAGGTGGCATAGTCGCGGGTCAAAACACCGCTCTTCCATTCCGATCAAAACATTAAACAGGTTCTCCCCGCTCAGTGACGCACCTGCTGAGAAACCTGATCAGTTAATGATAAATCCGCTGTGTCGTTTGTACTGGCTACTGTATACAGGCCACCAGGGCACCATACAAACTTTATTAAAGAATGTGCTGATTTTATATCCGAGTTAGTGCTTGCTGCAGATAAAGTTTTAATTGTTGGTGATTTTAATATCCATG